ATATATATATTCTATATTCATCTATAGTGTATTCATAGACTTCGACTGTTGAGGGTTCTGCCACAAGAATTCTCATTTTTGCTTGATGTACACCCTTGATACATATAGTAGTGGTCTTTGACGAAGCTTTAGCTTCTCTTGGAGATTGACGCTTATTGCATAGGAGAGTTCACACTATTTTGAAATAGTCAAAATCAAGCTTCTACAAGTCTCCTCTAGATTATATACTTAACAAAATACCGAAAATCCCTTGGACTTGCATACAAAAAATTAGAAGTTTTGAGGACATAAACTAAAAAGGGCGAACAAAATAGCATTGTAAGGATAAATATCCTTAGAATTATCCAGAGGCTGTTACGTCTGCCCCCGACATGCTTTCTGTTTCCTCAATGATAATCCTTCTGTGTTAACATTTTAAGGACGCATTCTGCCTACAAAAACCATGCGATATCACTGGCAGCTGATGCAATATTTGTTCTAGTACCAAACGTATGGAATTTTTTCATGGTTAGCAGATTGCATAATGGGAATAAATCTTTGGGCAACAAAATCAGTATTTGTTCAGTTTTGGTCCAAAAAATAAAAGACTATTAATTCAGATTTGCCTCAATTTGTATGGGACGATTATCAAAAATTCTTTATTATCATTTGTTCTTCAAAGGGTATGGGCTTAGGAGATTATGCCATGCTATTTTCTGTTTCCCAGCTTGCTGGTATCTTTAGTGAGTCCCTCTCAGGAGACTCAAATAGCTGCTTGATTCTGGTCTTCAATGCTTTGACATGCACATTGTGTTGATGGGGATGGCTAGAGATAAATTTGGTGCAATTTATTCAAGTGTTCTGCTTTAGATATTGGTCTATTGATATGGTGTTAATGTCTGTCATTATCTGTGTCATCTCTATAAATAGTCGTGCTGCATTCTAGTTATATATCTTATTTGTACTCTATAAGATTCCTCCAAGCTTCCTCTGTCCCAGGTGAGTTGATGTAAGTGTTACTTCGAAAAAACAAATTTGATTTAAATGGCATTATTTCTTTTTCTCGTAAGGGTTGATATATTTGACTGACGTTTTACTTTGCTTGTACTTCTCTTTCAATGCAATCAGACATGAGGGTTCTGGAGCACTTAAAAATTGATGTGAAATGCTAACTCTTAATTGTCAAATATTCCCTCAAAAAAGAATCTAACTCCCAATAAGTATTGAGTTTCTCTTATCAGAATTTTTGTTGAGAAACTACTATAAAAGCAAAATAACTTATGGGAAATTTTTGTATCGTTGGTAGATAACACGTAGGGATGAGGAGGTGGCCCCTTTTATTGTTGATATAAAACGAAATTACATATTCGGTGGAATATGCAGTGTTGCTGCCAATGCATCAATTAAGGTCAGCTTGTATGTTTTTGTTGCAGATTTTGGTAGATTTGATGTGACCATCCTATTTTTTATCTACATAGTACACCAGGTAGGCTCACATTGAAAAATGCCTTTGTGTCTTGGCATTTTCAGGCTTTAGCTGAGATGAAATCCATTAACCTTTTTGGAGTTCAGCAGATCTGCCGGAATTCTATAGCATTGGAACAGGTTTGTGCTATTTCTAGAGATTTTCTTTTGCCATTCTGTGTCATTTGAGATGATACTGAAGGAAAATTTTTCTGTTATATAGATCTAAAAAATTATCATAAACCCCAGTGCTTGCAACAAGTACTCCTTAGATTTGTGGTCAGTGTGTTTCCAAATGTTGCAAAGGAGGTGCTTGTTGTACTCTACTGGATGTAGTCTGTTATATAAGCATTTCCGATCTCTTGAGTGGCTTGCCCTCGAGATTTAATGTGTTGCAAGCTCAAATTATTGACTAGTACACAAACAGTAAGCTCTGATATCTCTGATGGCTGATTTATGATAAATAGCTATCGATAAACTGTATGATGTCCTAATATTGGAATACTGCCTTTAGGCACTGCAAAAAATATTTTGGAAGTTGCCTTTATGGATGAACTATCTAATATAGTAGCCAGCTGCTTATTTAAATTGTTGGAAAAATGTGGGACTTCTCAGTTGCAACTATTTCATAGCTGGATCCCATGGATGTAAGACTGGAATGGTGCACATATGATAATAATTGGTTGCTTTGGTAGATGACATGATCATCCTGAATTGGCCTCAATATGAACTCGTTTGTTAACATATTCCTCCTCATGTAGACTCGGACTAGTCGCTGAGTCCAATTTTAGCTGAATTCGACATTGTTAATTCAGTTTCGTTCTTCGAATTCAAGCATGAAACATTGATGCAGGAAGGAAAGGTGGGAAATTGAACCCACCCTTTCTTGAACCTTAAACAAGTAAACTCAGCAATAATAGAGAAAAAAGATGGTTGTAAATCAAGCCAAGAGAAGAACTTTCTTCTTTCATAAAATAAAATTCATTCTCATAATAAAGGGTTGTACCCGGTGCTAGTCCCACCTAAGTAGGGTCCTGGAAGGGGTTGGGCTGGAAACGGTCCTAGCCTTTTGCTTATGCACAAAGTGGCTGCTCTCAGGACTCGAACTCACGCTCTTGTGCTGGCTACCCGAGCTTTTTACCGTCACACCAAGTGACGGCCCCAAAATTCATTCTCATAACGCTTCTCCCAAAATGTGACATCCAACTTTTTATAAGCCTATGAAACCCTAAATTAACTTGAAAGTCAAGTAAACAATTAGGACTCAAAAATGCTGCTAAACGATACTAAAATTCCAAAAATACCCTTGTGAACAGACATGTGAATAGTACACATGAACAGTATCCATAAACATTAACTATGAACAGTACCATTAATAGTACTCGTGAATAGAAAATAAAGAAAATATAAAGAAATCTAGAATTAAAAAAAACTTAAAAATTCTAATAATAAACCCTAAAACTAAAATCAAAATATACATCTTTTAAAATTGAATAAAAGCGCCTACTGAACTTATTAACAAGCACCACCACATCCTCCTTTGCCTGGGTGACCCGCTCCATCGAGAGTCCAAATAAATTCCTGATCAGATCTATAGGATTTTGAGCTACTAGTGGTTTTGTGGCTTGCAGTGAACCTCCTCAACTTTTGTGTCCAGTTCCTGATCAAAGTTAGCTCGGCCCTTCCAGCTTATAAAAAATAAGAATAATTTTGCACTCCATAGAACATATCTTAAAATATCCCCAAATTGGAGAATGATGAGTATAAACCTGGGTGAAAATATAATCTTAGTGATATGTATTTATAGTGACCGGTTGGGGAAGCTTTCCCCTTGTTTGAGATGCAAGCAAGACACCTTTTGGGCAAGTACATTGGGATTCCCTTATTTGTGGGAAAGGCAAAGAAAATTCTATGGGACCTGGTGACAAAACAATTAGTCAATGAAAGTTGGCACATTGATTCACATTTCTCCTTAACATGTGAGGGAACCCTGAGTAATATATCTTGGTAGGGGTCCCTCAAATCCCCATTGTTGTTGCTTGTACATTGGAGACATAATGTTGCATTAAGCTGTTGCAGGATAAAAAATCTCATATTCTAAATGGAAGGATGTTTGTAAACCATAACTAGAGTGGGGCCTAGGAGATTAGGAACATAAGGAGAGAATTCAAAGCGTTGCCTGATAAGTGGCATTTGTGATTTGAAGTAGATAGAGAGTACATGGTTGAGGATTGTAGAGTGGAAATATGTTATTAACGTAGTGACAATTATCTTTTATAAATTCATTATTCGAGCAAAATCAATTTAATCTTTTTGTTATTATAATAATAAAATCATCATCCAAGTCTTATCTCAATTATTTGGAGTTGGCTACATGAATCTGGTTCCTCTATTCTTTTCTATCAAGGGTCATACTCTCAGTAAGACCAAAAGTTACCATATATTTTTTCACTATTTCTATTCATGTCCATTTGGGCCTTCCTCTTTCCTTTTTGGAGCCTTACACTTAAACCAAATTGCAGCTCAAAATTGGTGTTGTATTAGTTCTATGCCGCACATGGCCAGCCCACCTAAGTCTGGATTCTCTCATTTTATCGATTATTGAAGCCACATCTAACTTTCATTATATGTGTTTATTTCAAATTCTAGCCTTTCTGGTCTTGCCACTCATCCATCTCAATATCCTCATCTCAGATATGCTCATCTATGGTTATGTTGTTTCTTGACCGCCCAACATTCTTCCTCATAAAGCATGGTTGGAAGACTAGTTGTCCTGCTCTAATTTTATTTGTGTTATCTTCTTCAATCTCTCTACTCTCTTAAATATCGAACCTAGCTATCGGGAGCAACCTCTCGTATTTTTTGACCATCAATCTTAATTACTTCCTCATTTCTACTCCTATAATTATTAAATTTATATTCTATATATTTTGTCTTAGTCCGACTAATTTTAAAGGAAAAACATACAATGAGATTGTTTATCTTTAGTACAAAGTGGTCACAATTAATCTTGACCATTGGATGTGAAATTAGGTGGCTGCATTTATTGCATTGACCAAGTTCAAAGTTCAAAAGATTTTTTTCAAACTTTGTGACATATCCAAGCTATCAAATTTCACATCAGATGGTTATAAGTAATTGTGATATCCTTGTATCAAAGGTAAATGGTCTCATTGTATACAATCCCAATTTTAAAACCTTTAGATTCTAGAGAATCCACTCCAAAACATAGATATATGGGCTCAGCGTTGACCCCTGATGTAGGCCCATTGTCACTGAGAACTCACTTGTCTCTCCACTAGTTGTCCGCATACTGGTTAGTGCTCCCTCGTACATATATCTTGCTATATCAATGTAGCTATCATAGCTGATATAAGAACAACCGAATTCCGTTCTTTTGCATGTGTAATCGAATATATATTGTTTCAACAAAGTAAAAAAATACTGAACATGTGAACCTTCTGGTGAATCAGGTTTGAGGTTTTGATGTTGCCTTCAGATTTAAACAAAGTGTAGCTAGGGTTTGATTATCATGCAAAGAGAAAATTGGGTTTTGGAAAGAGAAACGAGTGCCTCTCTTTCGCTCTAGGGATTGGTCCGCGCTCTCTCTTTCGTTATACAATGAGGCTATCTCACATATGAATGTGAAGGGTTATGTGACCTTCGCCTTGTATAATTACTCAAGTCTAAATTATGTGACCTTCACCTTATATAATTACTCAAGTCTATTTATATAAGGCAAAGGTCACATAACCCTCAAATAGGGTCACTTCCCAAAAACAAGAAAATACTCAAGTAGGGCTCTATGACAAGAATGCCCTCAGCCTTTTGGGAAAATATGTACGCCCTTGGTAATAGGCACCTCCATGTAATATCTGGAATCTACCTCCATCAATATCCCATCAGTCCCAAGATCTCGTGACTCATACTGTGATGCTCCAGTGACCTGCCACTTTAATTCCACCTCTTTACCCCACCTTTGCCATTGCCAATTCGACAAAATACGAGGGATGTTTCTTCAATGCATTAGTGCATGTATACACTATTTGATTTGCCCCTAAACGTGATTTTCAGGAATTCCTAAGTTGCCTCAGGAGAAGCAGCAATCTTGACAGTACAAATACCAGAAAGTCTAGAAGCTAAAAAATAGCCAAATATAAAAAATATCGCTGGTATTACGAAACTGTGGAAACAAAATCCTTAAAATCTCAGAAAAAACACGAGAAATGGGAGAAAACATTTAAAACAAAACTCAAAGTTTTTTGCCACCGTGATAAAATTACAAGAATAGTCATTTGTCTAAAACATATGTTTTTTCTTTCATGGGTATAACGAACTCGACTCTTCATGGAAACCACCCATATACCTTCATACTTAAAAGTCATATGATTCAGGCCTGTTTCCAGACTGAGCACATTATCCAAGCAAGCAGCTGACACTGCTTCTTCTGTAGTCTCAATTTGACGAATCCCAACAGTCCAAACTCCCTATTACCCAAGACTCGTGTCCATATCTCTATAATGTTTACATGCTTCTCGTGCATGGAACCAAATTAATAGCTTACCTTCTTGCTAGACACCCAAGCATGATTGTAAAAATAATAGCATGCACATTGGTGGCTGGGACTGTATATAATACACCAATGAGAACCTCTTACCAAGAATAGCCTCCCACTCTAACCCAAGGTCAAATCTCTCCTCGTGAGTAGCAGTCATCATGCGATCGAGTCCCATGTTCATAGAGAGGGATCCACTAGTGCCTCATAGCATCATATCATGTGGGGTCGACTGTGGAGAGCTGTCAACTACCATATCCCATGGTCACCTTCTCTCAAAAAAAAACTACAATATCCCATGGTCTGAAGAGATCATGCTAAACTCCATATGTATTGGTCGTTCCCTGTGGCCCCTCTGTATACCAGTAACCGGTTCAGGAACGTCTATACATAACCTTGGGAATGAAAAATGCATGCATTTATGCATTTATAGCAAGCTAACAGGATGGAAACAATTTTTATCATAATTGGTATCAATTGGTTCAATGTCTGCGTACATAGCAGATAATGCAAAGGAAAAACTAGAATCAAGTGACCAGATTGTACTTCATTATCTTTGTAATGGAATGAATTAGATTGTAGGATGTGTTTGAATAGAATGGATGAAATTATGAATGAGAGTGTCCGCGGAATGAAATGGATGGAAGATTTTGCTGGAATATTCTTTTTTTACTTTATTTCCCATCATGTCTTTGACAAAGAGGAGCAAATTAATTTGCACTCAATAGGAATTGATCGTCAAAGTACTTCTATTTTCTATTTCAGCTTATTTTTAAGTTCCATTTGTTTTGGATAAAAATTAGATGGTTAACTGCTTTAAAACGAATGATGATTAAGTTTAGTCCGTTTTTTTTTGGGGGTGGGTGGGTGGGTGGGGAGGGGGGGATTTATGTTTTTCCCCTGATAATTGAGGAAATCGATATTGTTTCTGATAAAAGAGAATAAATCAGATTCTAAGCAGACCTGTAACAGAAATATCAAAATTTTCATGCTCTTTGAACTGTTTAAAATTCTCTGTCCCAATATAATGGAAGGGAATCTGTTTTACTTTTGGCTGTCTGATTTATGTAATGAGTAATGATCCTATGAGACCCTACCGCACCCATGTGTGCAGGACCCCAAAGGATCACCATTAAATTTGGCACAGATCTCTAGAAAAGTCAAGTCCCACATCATGTGATAACTTTTCTAGAGATCTGTGTCATATTTAATGGTGATCCTTTGGGGTCCTACACACATGGGTTGGGAGGGGCTCATAGGATCATTACTCTTATGTAATTGCATGTGTTCATAGCATCATATATTTTTTTCATATTTGTTTTATTTTTCTTGTGATTCACTTTTCCCTGTTTCTGGCCATGTTTTTGATTTCTCACATGACCAAGTTCACAACAGAGAAGCGGAAGAAAAACTAGAATTAAATACCTTTGAAGACAAAATTTCCAAGGGAGACTTTCCCTCTTTTCATTGTTCATATGCCTGCTTCATGTGTTACTTTTGGGCACTCCTTGATATATCTGTAGTGGCGTTTGTTATGATGGCTGGACTTGATGGAGGCTGGACGTCAGGGTCAATTGGTTGAAGGACAAAATCTTTTGTAAGATGTGCCATTTATCCATTTTATGTAGAACCTGGATGAGAGGATCAGACATATTCTTCTAGCGAGGAAGTTGAGGGAGAGAAGTAGCAATGACTAGATATACTCCACCCCAGCGCATTAAAGTCTGGAGAGTTAAAAGCCTGAGATAGTAGTTTGAAATTATAGTATGTGACGTGTAGATGAGCCTCCTCCTAATGTGATCACAAGATGAAATCCTCGTATTACAATTTCACAGCCTCTTATTTAGGAATTTGGGACTCGGGTGAAATCCTCAGGTGTAGTGGTAGCATGAGGAAGGTTCACGACAACCTAAGATTCCATATAGAAGATGCTCTGTCATTCTTCATTGATGCAGGAAAATTTTAGGAAACAGTAAAATAAGTAAGAAACAAAGCCAAACGCAAGCATAATTCAAAGAAAGCTAGGGTTTTTTCTTCATACCCCAAGCTAGAGTTCCAAAAGCCTAAGTTCTCTCTTTCAATTTCTAAAAATCATGTGGAATTAACTCCCTAAACGCCCCACACATATCTTATATAATTTAGTGTTCCAAGTACAAAGTGTCCAAACAAATAATACATTGACCCATATATCCTAACTTAAAATTCATAGTAACGGTTTTAATCCTATGAACAGTACCCGTGAACAATACTCATGAATAGTACTCATGAAATAAATAAATAGTATCAACTTGCGTAACAGTTAGCCTCTCTGTTTCTCTCCTTGTTGTACTCCTTTTTTATAATATATAATAGTTAACATTATAAAAAAAGCTTGCGTAATATAGAAAAACCTAGCGGGATGTCTCCCACATATAGGTCTTCCATTACTTTCTTCTTCATTCGATTCTGTACATGGAGCACAGAGGTGAAAAAGGTGGTACTTAAGTTCTTCTTCAAAATTATGCTCCCGTCAATGCTATTGTGTGTCGAGCCGATCTCTGCAGTTTGAGACATTATAATTCCGCTCCCAGTTTGAGGCGGACTTTGATTTGCGTCATTCCCCTTAAAAATCCTCACAATTTGAATCTATTCCTATAGATTCCTCTTCGTTTAGGTCAGGTTGTTGTTTTCGTTTGTAAAACAGCCGTGTAACTCTCACCATCAAGTTGTTGATTTCATTGCGTAATTGGATTAGATTGGCATCCTTTCGGCAAAGACCTCCACAACCAACCATCGGAATCTCTAACCGTCTTCGAACCGAGCTCTGATACCATTTGATGTGGGAAAAAAAGTTGGGAAATAGAATGCACTTTTTTCTGTACCTCGAACAAGTAAAATCAGCAATTATAGAGAAAAATTGCAGCTGTGAATCAAGCCAGGAGAACTTTCTTCTTTCATAAAATAAAATTCATTGCCATACATGACATGAGCATCCCAAAATATGACATCTAAGCTTTTATAAGTCTATAAAACCCTAAAATTAACTTGAGATCTAAGTAACATTTAAGACTTGAAAATATCCCTAAGCATTACTAAAATTCTAGAAGTACCCTTGTGAGCATGTTATAACTATAACATGCACAGAAACAGTGAATTAGTACCTATGAATAGTTATCGATGAATAGTAAATAAAAATATAAAAAACGGTTGTATTAGGGTACTCATACATATGAATATTTCCTTAATATACTCAACTGTTTTGGACACTCATATACCCCTGTTTGGTAATACAAAATTTTTTAAGGGTATTTTTGGTCATTGGAAGGGGTAGAATAGATATTTCTATAAGAAACTAGTTGCGCATTTATTTGTGGTTAAGAAGCAATCATTGCTCTATGTGGGTGATGTTATGATGATGTCATCCTCCACTGTAGTTAATAAATATTTTTCTTTCTATCAAGAATTTCAATTTTATTGTTAATTAATAACCTAAAATAGCCCTAGACAAAAAAGTTACTACATGGTGGGGTAAGAGTACTGAGTGTCCAAAAATGTTGAGTACATTAAAGAAATATTCATATGTATGAGTACCATAGTATATAACCCCATAAAAAAAACCATATAATCCCCAAAAAAAACTTAAAAAACCCTAGAAACAAACCCCAAAACTAAAGTAAAAATATACATCCTTTAAAATTAAACAAATATTTAAAAATAAGAATAATTTTGTTCTCCCTCAAAAAGGCCTCCAACTTGTAAAACCATTCGAATTTTAAGGCCGCTAGAAAAATCTTGTCGATTTCATGTATGCTTTCTCAGGTCTAAGCTAGTGCACCCTCCAAATGTCTTTCATTTTTTATTTTTCCATGTTTATTTTGATTTGTGATCTCATCGAATATGAAAACAATTCTCTGCTTTTTTATCCTTTGCACAATATATCTTAAGTTCCCTGTGAGAGATCTGATTTGTGGAATGATGCCTGATACGAGGCGTATGGATCCCATATTAGGCTTTCATTCATGGCTTTAACCCGAGACTATAAAGCTGCACACAAGTTTCAAGTATCACGTCTTGCTCTTATACCATGATAAATCCTTATACAGTATGAGGAAATGAGTTTCTGTAAATGTGGTTTATCCTAAAGCATAAATATGTCTAGTTTGATAGAATAAGTCTGGAGTCCTCATGTAGAATTGAATAATGAGAGACTATTAAGAGTGAAATGCATTTGGGGAATGTAGGAAGCGGAAACAAGTTCATATTACAAGAATGACCAATGATGCCCCTTGACCTTCTACATGTGCTCTCTCAAATAACCCCCTCCTCACACACCCATGAGAATAGCTGCACATCAGCTAATAGATTGCACCCGTAATGGTACTTGGGGAAATTTTTCAAAATACTTATAAAGGATGAACGATCTAAACATTTTACCCATGACTTTTGATATAATTTTAGAATACCTATAAAAGAACACATGGTCCTGAGTTGGAATAGTTGCAAATGGGTAAAATGTTGAATAGTTCTTCTGTTATAGTGTTTTGAAAAATTTCCTTTATATTAATATAACTCTGGTTCTATAGGGAAAAATGTTTGGACCTTGGTTGGATTGTTTTTTTGTCTATTACCTTTCATCTCTCAAATTAATTGATAGTTACGGTTTCATCTCAACTCCCGCTTTGCATCTGAATAGAGCACAGTGCATGCCTCTGGCGATTATCTCTTTTGTAATCAATTTCTAATAGAAATTGTTATTCCAGGCATTGGCTGCAATCCCATCAATTGATAGTGAGGCTGTTCAACAAAGATTAGACCGTATCCGGACTTACTATGAACTCTTAAATCTGCCATTTGAGGTTTGAAATTCATTCCCGTAGCAGACATATTACTTACTGCTCATTGTGTTACTTACTGCTGATTTTTAATTCTTTTCTGTATCTTGTATGTGCAGGCGTTGCTAGCTTTCATTGCAGAACATGAATATTTATTTACTGCCTCAGAGTATGTAGTTGTTTCCTCAGCTCTGTTTCATACTCTTGGTCTGACCTAAGCAAGAAGCATTCATGGACAAAATCTTCTAACTCTTTTGGTCGATTTAATAGGTATTCTAGTCTATTGAAGGTCGAAGTTCCAGGTAGGGAAATACCTGATGATGCAATGGAGAGGATCAATGAGATATTGGTTCATTGATCTCTCAATCCAAAGGATGAAGGGCAACTTCTAGGAATGGAGATAATGCACTTCCAAGGATGACACTGGAGTTTAGGTAAAATCTCGAAATCATGTAATTTTATGGACTCAAAAATTAAGGATATCTATTTTTGTATTTGTGCGTGCCCGATTTTGTATGCTGCCAGATTATTCATATTTGAGTTGCAATAAAAATTTTATCTGTTGTAAATTGTTTTTTGGCATGGTAATTTTTATGAGTCAAGTGTGACATTTTTTCCCTTTGTAAATTGTCCCAAAACAACTAGTTATTTTGGGCTTCCTTGGACAAGGTTTTTATTGTGCATTAGAAAGAGAATAGGCCCCCCCAATTGACTTGTGAATGACTAAAATTGTATTGTACAATTTCGTGGTACTGGGAAAAATTATTCTTAATTTAAGTTTTTATTCAATTTTAAAGGTTGTATATTTTAATTTTAAATTTAAGGTTTATTTTTTTTTGGTTTTAAGTTTTTTTATGGTATTCTAGGGTGTTATATTTTTTAGGATTTCTAGGAGAGGTACTTAAGAATGTTTATGAAATATCTTATTTATTAGATATAAAATTGTTATTTCCGATTTTACTTTAAGTCAGGACTGTTTTGGTCATTTTTCTTGTGGTTGGATTGACTTTGTAATTGATTATTGAATAAAGGGTAGTGTGTGGATCCTATGGGGAGATCACGTGATTTTTTTATTTTTTATTTTCAAAGAGAGAATCGACAAGAGAGAGGAAGCTTTTATTCTTGCGTTAGGGTTTGAGGAAGAAACACTAAAAAATGAATGCCATTATGAATATAATATTATTAGAGTCATACCCTAGGTTTCCGTGGTTCTCTATTGCCCTTTTGTTCTCCGTAGTTCTCTATATGGGTTCGGGACAGGAATCTCTCTCTCCATATTTCTCTGAGTTAGGGACATGAATCTCTCTCTCTCATGTATGTCCATCTATGTCCTGAACTAACTGCATAATTTAGAAAAATAATTTTTTTCGGTGACATCTATGTCCCTACCTCTCGCTCGTGTAAAATCTGATGAAAATTACTTGTTGTACAGAGAATACTGGGTTTGTTGGGCTCTGTTTGCATCCATCCCTACCACGTGTAGGGCTGCAACGGGTCGGGCCATTCTGGCCCTAGTCCCCAAAGGGCCGGCTTGGCCCTAACCAGGGTAAAGAGGCTTTGGCCCAAGCCGGCCGCTCTATGAGGGCGGGAATACGGCTCAACCATTTCCCCAGCTTGAGTCTCGTTCAAACCACATGCAATCCCATCTCCAGCTGAGGCCACTCGATCAATCTCATCAAGGTGTATACGTTTTTCATTCATTCCTCTTTCTAATAGAGTAGTGAGTTTGGGAGAGAAATCCATACTTCATAGATATAATCAAGGGAGAAATCGAGGGCTGGCCAAATAAAATCAACAAAAAGAACCTAAAAAGAAAAAATTGAGGGTCAAGCAGGCTGAAATTGGGCTGGTCTTGAGCCTGGCTCTGACCTCGGGTGTGGCCCAAACCCTAGTTTTATAGGCTGAGCCACCCGGCCCATTGCCACCCCCATCCGCGCGCTATTGTGGGTCCTGACCTTTATCCGAGTGTTGTGTGAAATGGCATTCCGCATTACAATGAGAATGAGATTGTGCGTCCCAAATCATCAATCATCGACTACAAACACCATCTAATAATGCATTGCCTTCCCAAGTGCATTTCAAAAGTGTTCCCAAACATCAGCATTATAAACTTATCCTTTTACTAAGATTTGGCAAGAGTGATCTTTTTTTTATTTTTATTTTTATAAGAAACTTATTATTAATCAATCAACATGTTACAATAAGATTATAAAATTCCATTTAACATCATCAGTAATGGGTTGACCAACCCAGGAAGTGAAGCCCTTTTCTTGGCTAACTCATCTGCCAACGCATTAGTTTCTTAGTAGAAATGATAAAACGATACTCTCAAGACAACAACTAGATCCATAATTTGTAACCAACATTTTCTCAGTTTCCATGACAACAGCTAGATCCATAATCTATAACCAACATTTCCTCAGTTTCCGAGGAACGTTTTGCACCAGTAAGTCCCCAGGTGCCAGCATTTTATCCTTTAGAAACCTAAAACCTTGTAGCAAAGTAGCTATTTCAGCCCATTAACAGACACGTCGGCCCGCCCGCATAGCAAAAAACAACATTCACTCACCAATCTCTCACTACTCCGCCATAAAGGCTTAGTCTGTGCTTGGGCTTGGGCACCTGTTTGTAAACCACAAGTATTTTGACACAAATATGCAAACAGGACATGATGGTTTTTCATAATATCCAGATCGTCTAGCCCCAAAATCACTTAAGGAAATGTGGAAAGTCTTAGTATCACTTTTATTCAATTCCAGATAAAATAAAAATGCCTCGAGCTTCTAAAACCCGAAGGCCCTATCGGAAACCGGATGGTTCCTGCAAGGAACTAGCCGATCCGGCCGGGTTTTTACTATTAATTTTTGGATTTTTGTCAATTCTTTTATTTTTTTTATTGGCCGATTCTCTTGATCAGATTGCCAATCCAGATTGGCGACTCCAACCTAGATCGGATTCCTACGCTTTTAAACATTTCTATTGAACAACGACAAAAAATAAAGAAATAAAAATCAGATCGTAACCTATGTGCCTAAAAAAATAAAATCCCATGATTTAACGTAGATGGAACATTTGGAAAGTAGGATCTGGGTGTTGAAGATCCTCAAAATCCATTTTTTCAATATAGTCCTCAGGCAATTATCAAGTGGGTTAAAAGAAAAGGGCAAGCTTTATATGCTTCCCCTATAGCATAAAACTTGCATGTGTTCTTTTATCGAACCATCTATTTTGAATGGACAGCTGAGATGGCCCAATCACAATGTCATGTCTCTACACTATTTTATTTTAATTTTTTATATAAATTATTTTGACACCAAAATTTGGGCGTTCAGTCATCTCTTAAACTCACAATTATAAAAAAAAATATTATTAATGAAATAATTATATTTTCAAAGGTTATTTTGGTCATTATATTTTATTGAAAAATTCTTTTTAATATTTTTTTAGGTTTACCCCATTGAGAAGATGGCACGTACCAAATTTCATAAAACTTCAATTTGTAGAAAAAAACTAAAAATAAAATACTCTAAAGCATCATATCTATATCAAACGTTGGTGGCTCACTTGATCTAAATTGCACGACTGGAGGAGGTGGAAGCATATATCTTAGGGGAAGTATAGAAACCTTTCCCTAAAGAAAATCTCCTAGTAGGCCTTTTTCCTGAGGGAGTAAGTGTATAATAATGCTCGGGCTGGAGCATACTGTGCACGCTATTTTCTTTTCTATTAGAAAAAAGATCTCTCGGGTGACTAAGATGATTCGAGATTCTCATATTTAAAACGACCCCTGTACGAACATGTGCATCATAAAACTTTTGTATTTTGTGAAAGAAACTAGGACAATAAATGATCAAGTGGAAGAATCAAAGGCTAAGTACTTCCTAAGCTTTAAGAAAAGAAATTATCATCATGGAGTTGGGCCATATGTTAGAACACACTATTACGCTACTCCACCATCGATTTTGACTGGGCTTTCTTCTATATTTCACATTTTAACCCAAAAAATTATGGAAAAATATATAATGAGACCATTTATTTTTGGTCACAATAAATCTTGAACCTTGGATGTAAAATTAGATAGCTGCATTTATTTCATTGACCAAGCTCAAACTTTGTGCCACATTCAAGCTATCATATTTTAGATCAAATGGTTGTAAATAATTGTGACCTCCTTGTATCGAAAGTAAATAGTTTGATTGTATATAATTTCAAATATTACACGTTTCTTTTTCAACGCTCTCAAAATATTATGGAAAATGGTTTGATAGGGCTGCAACCCTATCAAAGTAAGTAAAGCCTCACCTCATAACTCACCCAAAATTACAATTCAAGCATGGAAAGCCTTTACATCGATCATCTCAACTTGAAGATTATGGTTGTGAAAAAAAAAAAAGGATTTCAAGCTCTAAAAATAGTATATGTAACAAATTACCTAGACCGTCCATTGCACCCTAAAAATAAGTGTTCAGAGTTCCGCAAAATCTGTACCATTTTTTAGTTTTAAATTTTATTGTTGGTGTTAAAAATTAATTTTAGAGCCTTAGACTGTCCATTTCACCCTAAAAATAAGTGCTCAACGATCCACAAAATCCGTACTATTTTTTTAGTTTCAAATTTTATAGTTGGTGTTAAAATTTAATTTTAGAGCCATGGAGATTTATTTATCTGAAAGTGCTTTTCAGGATTTGAGGTGAGGCTTTAGTTTGTTGTCATAAAGCCTAGGTTTTATAGAAACTTCACCCAAATATTATATGCTTATTCAGGTACATGCTTATGCTCTCCCCGGTTAAACCCTTACACAAAAGATTATAGGCTTCAGCAGGCCAAATGGGTCCTTGAGAAGAAACGGGAATTCAAGAAGGGGGTGGGCGACCCCCTTCCAATTTAAAAAAGTGTACAAATTTAAAAATAAAAGATCCATAAAAAGTTGGAACTATGTGTTCCCCCTCAATAAAAAAAACAAAAAGAAAAAAAGAAAAAAAAAGTGGGAGTTTGACGTGGCTCGTTTGCCGGTTCTAGACCGTGCTGGTTCGCTAGTTCCTAGATATAATCGGCGGAGGGGAACCAGCTAATTCTCGATATATGCTAGGAGCCGGACTGGCCCAACCGATACCCAATCCGGATTGGGATTTCGATCTTGATTGATAATTTCTAAAACACTATATCAAGGTTTTAAAAATCACTTATTCATATGGGCCTCATGTTGTTCATTGTATATATTAAACTACTAACTACCCTAGCATTTTCTATTTGAGATGCACATCTCCCTACATTTTTCTTTTAATTTTATATAAAGATCTATTAGCAAAGAGACTCGCTTACTAGTAGTATGCTCAAACTTATGGAACATTTTCTCTATATAGTGAAATTGTGGCAGTATCAACTCCTTTTTTTTTTTCTCCCTATTTTGACACCTCGTATCATATCAGCCCCTCCCAAGTTCCTTATATCAAAATTAGATGCTAGGAAACTTCTAGTTTCCTCTACAATTTTCAGATTAGGGCAAAAAATTAGTATATCATTTGCATGACATATTATGACATAAAGAATATATTTGTTAACTATACACATATTCATCAGCCTCATTT